TTTCTTTAATGTCGGCAATTTCCCTTCTTATTAAAAAGTTATGTTCATTTGCAATGCTTACAATAATACATTGCAGCAAAAAGTTATTCTAAGAAGATCATTTTTTAATTTGCCTTAAGCAAAAAATTTTAAATACTCAACTTTTTTCCGCTTAAGTTACAGAATAAGAAGAAAATATCAGCTAATAATTTTATTCTTTTATTGTTTTGCAAGTCTGGTCCTCTGCAATTGATACTTTGTGATGATTTCTTTATTACTTGATTGGACAATTTCTTATATTCTTATAAAATAAAATACAACTGAATTAAATTAAAACGTAAAAGTGTTGATGAATGAAATTAATCAATTAGCCTATGTAAATTTCGTGGGTGTTATTTATATTTTGACCACATGGTGGCTCCAATGCACACACTCACAAAGCTTCCAGTCATGATGTTGTAAGATAGTATGTATACACAATGATACAAATTTCAATGGAGCCTTAGGGTAAATTGAGAATATCTACTGCATTACATAACGAGTGAGATATTTTATATATTCTTTCATTGGTGGAGTTTTTAAAGTCACACTAAATTTCTTCTTTATAAATAAATAAAGAATTCAAAGCTTCATTTGTTCATGGTGGCTAAACATGCAGTTACTGTGACTCTGATTTGACTGCTTTCAACCGATGGACTTTATTTGACCGTAAAGCTGTTCTGTGTAGGTGACGGGTCAGATTGTGAGGTTCTGTCAATAGCAGAACAGGAAGAGGAAGCCCTTCACCTTCAAACTAAACACACAAGTAGCCAATTTTCTGCAAAGCAGTTTGTCTACCCAACAGATCAAACAATGTTTCTGAAGAAAATCAGACCACAGCAGTCAGTTTCAGACTCATGAGTCAGGACTAGTCAAAAGTATGACTCATGTAAGAGTATCGACTGTTTTTGCCATTTGCAACAAATGAATGATTACAAATCTTTCAAATTAAATTGTTTTTCATTCAATAAAGATACTATTAAGAATGGTCTTGATAGTCTTGATAACAGCCAGAAGAACATGTATATGTAACTATATAACGTACGATCAGAGAGCATATATGTGTGAACTAGGAGGGTCTAACTCCATTGGGGGAAATTCACACCTTCAGCAGACAGTGTTATAAGACCACACTTTTCACAGAACCGTTGAAGAAAATGTTTGTGCTGGCGGACTCTGATTGGTAAGTTATAAATGTGTATCTAATTTTAAAGCTGCTGCTACTGTTCATATTAGTTAGAGGATTTGCTTTTGCTGTTATTCTCAGATAAATGAACCCTCTGGTTATGTTCCAGCCATCTTGACCTGAAAATGCTATGTTACCACATTGGACTAAAAACAGAACACCACATTAAGTTAAGGGTTTTCAACTTTGGGTTGACTTTGGATTCGGGCCCATGTTTCAGTGAGCCTCTTTTTTGTTGTTCCAATGTCCTTCAAATCAAATTTAGGTACAAACTCAACCTGATTTCAGGATTTGTAAACCATCAAGTCTGTGACAATCGTGGTTTATGTTCATCAGGTGTGTTTGGTGAGTCAGTGTCAGTGATGGAGGGAGATTCTGTCACTCTACACTCTGATGTTACTGAAATACATAAAGATGATGACATACTGTGGAAATTTGGAGCTGAAGCATCCCTCATCGCTGAAATCGATACAGCTCATGGAATCTTCTCCACATTTGATGTTTCTGATGCGAGATTCAGAGACAGACTAAAGCTGGACAATCAAACTGGATCTCTGACATCACAAACATCAAAACTCAACACACTGGAGTTTATAAACTAGAGATAATTGGAGCAAAATGGTCATTAAAATCATTCAGCGTTTCTGTCTATGGTGAGTAGAAATCATTTGTCCTGTCATTCATATATTCTTGATTTATTAAAGGAATATTTTGGGTCCAGTACAAATTAAGCTCAATATACAGCATGTGTGCAATAATGTTTAACAAAAAAATGACTTGCTACTTGTTTTCTTTTAAATGAAAGAAAAAATGGAAGTAATGGTGAGGTGCTTATAGTGGAAGTGAAGATTCACTCATTTGGAGGTTTTTAAAAGTGCCCTGTAAAATCCATCCCCTGCCATCTAAGCCTCTCACTGTATAACCCCTCATGTTTCCTTTGCTGCTGGACAAGTGGAAATATATTTTTGTGGCAAGCTAAACTAGTATTGAACTATTAATATTCCTTTAAATATTGACATACTGAAATGTGCAATTGTTTTATAGTTTGAGATAGGGCTGGGCGATATGGCCAAAAAATGATCATGATAATGTCTGAGTTCTGCATGTTCTAATGAGTAGTTTCAAATCAAGAAACGGGTTTGTGTTGCCTGATAATATTAGTAATATAACATTGTCTCTTAGAAATACACATTTGATAGTTAGGATGCAGATGTAGATTTATGTTCATTATCAAAATCAGTTATATCTGTCAAAATTGTAGCAATCGCATTTTTATATGCTGAGATTTAATTAATCTGACTTTTTTTTTAACCATTGGTCTTCCATAGTAGCATACATTTAGATCATGATAATCACAGTTAAAACCACAAATATAGCACTTCAATACCATGGTAAAAATGTAATATGGCTTCTAGGTATTTATATGAAAAACAATAACTTAGTCTAAATACATTTAGTATAAACGCATAAATGCTATAGCTTAACCCTTGTATGGTGTTCAGGTGTGTGGGACCGTCCCATACAAGGGTTAATCACAAAAAAATACTGTCATTACATTTCATTACTCCTCCTTCAATACATTTAAAATATGTCTACATTAATAATTTAATAAAAATTGACATGAATACCCACATTTCTGACACAATACTACGATGCAGTTAGTGCTACTGCAGTAAATCTATGGTAAATGATGGCGATTTGTAGATTAAAAAGTCTTCTGACTGTATCGTTGCGCAGTGTTTGTCAGCGCTGTATCATCTGGCTATAAACCGAGCTATCTGTGTTCTTCGCTGAATTCAAGCGCTTCACACTGCACTGTAAAACATGTATGTAAAAAAACTGCCATATTCTGACAGTAACATACTGCCTTTTCATTAAAACAGTAAAATCCCATAGAAAACAATGCATTCTGGGTAATATTTGTCATTTTCGAGAAAGTATCCTTCTGCAGTCCTTGTAGTGTCAGTGTTCAGATTCGACACTCAGAGGCTGTGTTTCAAATCACACCCTACACCCTCATTCACTATTCCCTACATGAGTTTACTAATACAGTCCACCAGACAGAGAGAATGAGCACTAATGAGTGAATTCAGACAGTGATGAACAGCTGCTGTTAACGAGCAGAATCACTGAAGAAAAGAGAAACACAAGAACTACAACTGACTTCAGCCACAGACTTAGATGAAATCAACTGAAATAAGACAGCAGAACACGATCAAACAACTCCACAAACAGCATTACAGTCTGACTTTATTTCTGTCATATATCTACAAAACTTCTTTGAGAATTAACAGAGGTTTCGATGTTTTATTGAAAATGTTTCGTTTGACCTCACCATCGTGGCGATCAGTGTTTGCTTTAGTTGGGCTCTTGACCCTTGACCATTTAATGTGAGTTTTTTTTTCTTCTTTTTTTGGTTATTGTAGTGGTGTTTGTAAGTCACATTCGTTATAAGAAATGCCAAGCAAAGTTGTTGTTAAATGGTTCTGGTTAAGTATTAATGATGGTGTAAACATCATCTAGAGACCTGATTCGCTGACCTTATTCAGTGGTTTAACTTTAAAAGTAACATGTGTTGTATCACTAGTTTCATATTTATTTTAACTATATGACACTGTAAGATAAAATGATAAAATATTATAAAGGATTTTAAAGTAAATCTTCTGCACAAATCCTTTAGAACTACAGCACAGTTTAGACACACAGAGACATCAAGAATCAGCACATGAATCTCAACAATGGTGACAATCAAAAGCTTCATGCTGCAATGCATGCTGGGTACCAGCACAGGAAAAAAACTCATCCATGACTCCCAGCATGCATTGCGGCATGAATAAATTATGCGATGTCTTCGTAATTTCTTTTATTCTTACTATTTTATTTTCGCTGTTTTATGAGACTTTTTAGTAACTTGTTTTGTAATGTTCAGAGTTGATCCGTTTATATGAATATATTGTTTGTCACCGTTGTTGAGATTCATATGCTGGGTTTTGATGTCTATGTGCGCCTAAAAGAAACACTTTTTATTGAAACATTTGCGTCTGGCTTGTCTGGCTGTTATAATTAAGTTAAAGCATCCAAACAAAATCTGATATGTAAAAGTGTAAGGGCCAAGATCCCAACTAATACAAACACTGACCACTATAATGGTGACAAAAGTGGATTGTCTCCTTTAGTGATTCCATTTGTTAACATCAGGTGTCTTCATTAATAGTCAATCATCACTTAATTAATCAGCTAATTATCTCATTAACTTACCAACTGCTTCAGTGTTTATATGAGTCCACACTCAGACTGTTAAATTAGCACTGGGGATTTTGCTGTGCAGCTTCACAGTAACAAACAGGAAAATAAAGTGTTGTAGAAAGAAAAATACATACTCGAGAAATACTTCTGCTCATCAAAGCCTTCCAAATGTTCTCTCTGAGACAAAAGATAACTTAGAACAAAAGGCAAAGAAAAGCAAAGAGAAACAAGGAAGATCTGCAAGAAGTGAATTCTAGGGAGTTTGGAAAGAGCAAGAGCAACAACAACCTCAACACTGTAAAAAAATGCTGTAAAAAGTGGCCATATCCTGACAGTAGCATACTGAGTTTTCATTACAGGAGTAAAATCCCGTAGAAGACAATGCATTCTGGGTAATATTTCTTATTTTCGAGAAAGTATCCTTCTGCAGTACTGTGAATTAACAGTGCTCAGATTCGACACTCATGCAGCATTTACACTTGGCATTAACATGCGACCTGTATCCGGATGTTGTCCACATACACATTGAAAAGACAAATGTAAACGCGCTTCTTAACGGAATTTTATCCAACATCAAGGTAGAGTCCATAAATACAGCAATAGAGTACAAAAATGTCTTATAAAATCTCATACACGTACATTCTCTTCAACATTCTCTTCAACATTCTTCTTCCGTCTCTTTCTTGCACGTCTTTCTTCCTCAGATCTATAATAAGTAGCACATGTATGTGTAACAATTCTTCTAAATGTAAGTGTTGTTAAAATGTTCACGAAAGAAAGAACAGACCTCAAGGGGAAATTTTCCAGGAGAAGAACACACCACCACCTCCTGATGCAAGGCATGTCAGTCTGAGATAAAACATATATAGTTACTTTTAGTTATTTTTTTTAAATATGGGGGTTACCATTGCAGATTTCACTTACCTCTGTAAAATCAAAGGCCCCTGATGTCACAAAGTACAGTGAATACTGAAATGGTAAACATTAAACACATTTACACAGATACATTTATTGGTTAAAAGTCAAGTAATAAGCAACACAACAGCTCTATAAACTTACCACAGACATCAAGAACCATCGCATGACTCTCAACATCGGTGATAAAACTTCACATTCAGACAAACAGATCAACTATGAACATCACAAAACAACAGAAAATCAGGCAAGTCTGTCTTGTAGCATTGATACACACACAGACATCAAGAACTAGCATATGAATCTCAACAATGGTGACAATAAAAAAAAAAAGTGTTCATGACTAAAAGCCTGAGCTGATGCAGTTCTTTTTTTTTTTCAACATCAAAGCATTAAGATGGTATTTGTTTAATAGAGTTTTTTTTTCTTCTGTTCAGTAATAGCTGAATGTCAGTCAATAAACCAAAGAGAGACCGCTTCATGAAGTTCATTCATCATGAGTTATAATCAGAAAGTGTAAGCTAATTTGCTACTTCAAGTTTTTGATTCAGCAATGCACAAATGTTTGCTGTGAAGCAATTTA